GAAAGAGGATCTCCACTAAAATTAAAAGAAAAACATAGCGTCCTAGGAGTTCCTCATTCCGCATTACAAATCCACGCAAAAAACAGGAAAGAAAAAAGCAAAAAGGTATACCCACAGAAGTGCAAATAATCCGACTGTAAATATACTAGTTCAAGGAGATATACCCAATGTGAACATGTAAATACATTGCAAAAAACAGTGAGAGTTGTAAAGCCAAAAAAATTCTTCATTCAAAGCAACCGAAATCCAAACCATAAAAAGCGAAATGTTGTAGAGTTGCTCCAAAGCAAGGGAAATCAAAACAAATATCATACCAGAACCGAGATCGGTGAACAAAAATTAAACCAGCAGCCATGTAGGTCATTAATGAAAGGTTTGAGGCCAGTACTGTGAGAATAAAGTGGATCCAGAAAAGCTGCAAAAAGGAAACTAAAAGGAAGACAACAAGAAAAAAGCCCCAAAGTATTCGAGAGCAAATTACTTGCAGAAATGTAACCGCTCAAATTGCATGCCCACAGCAAAACAGTATCGTAGACACTGTATAGGAACTGAATCCCATCATAATGAAAATTAAGAATGAAATTGGTGCCAAAGTACACTATACCATGATCAATATATCTCATGGTGTAGTGTATGTCGTTGATGTACAGAAACCAAAAGATATTCCTGATAATACTCAGCCAGTAAACAGAAAAGGTAGAAACAATCCACATTTGGTATCCCGCCCCCAGATATAGGTGCATATTTATGTGACTATGTGTGCGGATGTATACATAGGTAGTGAACAATACAGTTACAGTTAAGATCACTAGTGAGACATTTCTGAAACCAAGATCCCATCAGTAATATGAAAGCAGAAAATTTCAACCCCAGAATGCCTTCTAATATTATTTTCAAAATTCCTCCAATGATTCAGGTTTGGCAAAATAATATAGCAAGGGAGATGGCAATCCAGTATACCACCTATTGTCAAAAGCCACAAAAGAAAATTCCAGAGAGGAATTTCAATAGCACAAAAAGCAGAAATTCAGGCCAGAAAGTGACTTAATATAATCTGCTGCAAAGGAGCAATCAAACCCAACCTTCTTACCACAATTCGTGAGGCATGAGAAGGGACAAGCCCTACAGAGCAGAGGGGGCAATGCCCAAAGAAATTAGAGAAAATATTCAGCATAAAGATCCATCATCTCCTCAAATAAGGAGTGTCCATCATATCACTCAGTATACAACTTTTAAGGGGAAAAGGGAGTGTAATGCCAACCAGGGCATCATTTAACTTCAGCTTAGAAAGCCAATCAGCAAGAACATTTCCCTCACTATAGGTGAAAGTGAAGAGGATTTGAAGCTTAATGCTATGTATATCATTATAAATGTGTTGTAGTAAACAATTTATATTCCAAACCGGCTCAGAATTCTTTATGAGGATATTATAGAGACATTTTGAGTCGGTCTCAATGATAACACATTTAAAATTAAAAGACATAGTGACCTTTAAAGCCAAAAGAACAACATAACATTCAACCTCAAGAGAAGTGGAGGCAACAATAGGTGAAGCAAAGAACTTATGGCAAATCCCATAACAGTCTCTAAACAAACCACTAGCACAAGCAACCATATTAAACCAACTAGCATCAATGTTGGCCTTAAACCACCCAAATGAAGGTGGTAACCATCTGACTAAAACAGGTCTCTTTCTTCCCTCAATATTAGATGTGGCAGTAGCATTAGTTAGAGCTCTAACAGCTTTATAATAATGAGTCATAATGAAAGAAATTGTAGTAGTAAGAGAGGGGGGGGAGAGTAATGTTTATAATCATTTCGAGCAATCCAGATGAACCAAAGGGCCATTAAGGGGAAATAATTCATCTTAGGGGGAAAAGCAGTAAACCATTGCCAAACCCCAAATATTTTATTTAAACTAAAGGGGCTAGGCCAACAGACTCCAAGAAGCGCACCAACAGTAATCCAAACTTGCCTAGCAAAACAACATTCAAAAAATAAATTATGGGATGATTTGGCTTCTCTCTTACAAATATAGCAAATAGAAGCCAATTTCAGCTCCTTTAGCTTAAGTATGTCATCTAGATGCAAAAATGAATGAAAGTATCTCCAGAGAAAGAAAGAGGTGGAAGGAGAAATAAAAGAGTGCCATATGGAAGAGCTCCATTTCCATTTGTGATAGCTGTGAGTATTAGTATATAACATTTTAGTTATATACCCTGTAGAAAGAAATTTTCACATAGGTTTATCTCTACCCCCATTAAGAATTTGGGTAGTGAAAACAGAAGGAGCTAAATCTCCCACCAAGGACGTTAACATATTAATATTCCAATTTCCACCCTCACAAACATCAGAAATCAACAGGTTAGAAAAGTAGTAAGTTCTGATGTGCCCCACTGGTCATGCCAAAAGAAGATTTTACCATTTCCAACTTTTCAAAAGATAAACTAAGAAGCAATAGTTCTAGCAAGGATTATAGCTTCCCAAAGTTTAGAATCTCCGGTTTTCCAAACCATAATAGATGGGTGAGCAGTATGACAATATTTATGATACAGATATTGTACCCAAACAGACTCACCCACACGAAATTTATACCAAAACCTATACATATTGATATGAACAATTTGCTGCAGAGTTTTGAAGCCAAGCCCTCTAGAAAACCGAGGCATATAAACTGTAGCCCAATCGGCCGAAATTTTACCGAAACCAGACGCAAGCCAAAGAAATTTGTTAAAAAGGATGTCAAGATTTTTCAGAGTGTTTTTTGGCCTTAATGACTTGCAAAGCATAAAGAGGTAAACTGCAAAGAATACTTTTAAGCAAGATGAGTCGGCCACCATTAGATAGAAAAATGTTTCTCCAATCATGGATCCTTTATTTAATTTTATCTTCAACCTCATCAAATTGGTTTTGCTTCCTCCTGACCCTAAGGATATTCACCCTAAGATATTTAATATGTAGCTTAGCAGTTTTACAACCGTATAGTCAATGGCCCAATTTTCAATGTGATTGGGAATATATTTGCAAAGTAAATAGAGCATTTAGATTTGTTGAAAAGGAAGCCAGAGGAGTTCTGAAAATCCTCTAAAACATTCATAATGCCCTTAACGACATTCTTGCTAGCATTAGAGAAGATAATAACATCATCAGCATAATCAAAGTGACTGACCAAGATCTTCGATTTTTTAGAGTATTGTATGTGCGGATATTGGAGTTGTACTTGATTGATAAGGCGAGAGAAGTAATCAAAAGCAATAATGAACATAGTAGGAGAGAGAGGATCCCCCTGTTTGATAACCCTGAAAGCAGGAAAAAAGCCATAAGCCTTGTCGTTTACAAGCACACTATAGTGATTAGTCTTTAGCCACCTTTTGATGAGCATACAAAAGTCATTCTTGAACCCTTTAGCAATCAAAATATTAAGAATGAAGTCTCAGCTAATAGTGTCAAAAGCCTTTTTTTATGTCCAATTTGAGAACCATAATCCCCCCCCCCCCACCCACACTCTTTTTTATTAAGATCCTCAATGATTTCCTGGGTCAGTAAAATATTATCAGCGATCTCCCTGCCTTTGATGAAAGCAGATTGATGTGGAGATGTAAGGTGAGGGAGACGAGGTTGTAGTCTAGTAACAAGAATTTTGTTTATGACCTTAGATATAACCAAGTTAAGAGAGATAGGACGAAAATTATGCCACGTAAGCTTGTCATTTGTTTTAGGAATAAACATAATGGTGGCAGAACTAAAATAATTATCGAGATTTTCACCAAGAAAGAAGCTTTGGATAACTAATATGACATCTTTCTTGATAATACTCCAAGAGTAAAAATAGAAAGAGGAGGAGAAACCATCAAGGACAGGGGCTTTATTAGGGTTAATAGATTCAAAAGCAGAGTATATCTCAGTCTCAACAGGAATATAGGATAAGATTAGGGAATTAACAAATTCCCTATCATCCAAAAAAAGAGTAGTGTCAATAGAGGTGGTGTGCACAATAGATTGATAGAGAGTAGTAAAGTGATGTACAACACTTTCACCAATTTCATCCATGTTAGTGATTATGTCCTCGTTCATATTTTTAATTTTCAGGATGCTATTGATGTTCCTTCTGTGCTTAAGGGTAGCATGAAAATATTTAGTATTACGGTCCCCATCTATAAAGGATATATCATTAGCCTTTTGTTTTAGACGTTCCTCCTCCAGATTAATAACAGTAAGGAGATCTAGCTGAGCTTTAGCCATGGAGTCTACCCAACCAGAGGTACAGACATCTTGTGTTTCCAATTGATCAACAACCCTTTGTGCCTCAGAGACCTTGGAGTGAACATTTCCAAAGACCTGCATATTCCACTTTCTCAAATGAGCAGCAACTTTTTTATGAAATTTCCATAGAATATAACAAGGAGAGCCAACCATCTAAGTCTTCCAAGCCTGCTGCACCAAACTCAAAAAAGATTCATGAGTGGTACAAATGTTAAAGAACTTAAAATGAGAGATAATAGGTTTGTCATTAAAAGTCAAAGTCAACAAACTAGGTTTATGATCAGAGGAAGCAGAATTTAAATGTTGAACATGCAAGATGGGAAAGTGGCTTACGAAGGAACCATTCTCCAAAAATCTATCCAGCCTTTGAGAAAGCAGCCCTCTTCTCCAAGTGAAAGGGG